AAGTGCATGGATCTGGATGCATGTGTGCGGAGGTATGGATAAGTGCACGGATCTGGATGCATGTGTGTGGAGGTATGGATAAGTGCATGGATATGGATGCACACACGCACAGGTGGATGGGTGCATGGATGTGGATGCATGTGCACATGCTTGAATGGGTGCACATAAGCCTGGCATGTGCAGAAAAGCAGATGAGAAGTGACCTGTGTGCCACAATACTTGGAGCCCGGCAGAAGATCTGCAGAATGCACCCTTCCCAGCCACAGCTCCCTTTCTCATGAAGCACATTCCACCTCTGTCAATCTCTCTGTCTTGTTCGTGATCTGGCTCTACAACAGGATTACATCCAGTCGTCAGGTATTCTGCAAGGACTGACAAACGCACATCACGTGCAGGATGGGGTAGCCCCATCCTGCTGCAATTAAAACTCATGGCTTATAAAGATGCTTGGTCCCCATGACAGAGCTCCGCCTACACCAGGCCACAGACAAAAGGGAACAAAGGGATTTGAGAGACTCCCATTTCTTAGTGGCCTTCTTTCAAAATACTGTATTAAGATAGGCTCTACCTGGGTCCTATCAAATGGGCCAGTGTCCACAAAAGTCATAGTCAAACAGAAACAGTATGAGGCGAATCCAAAGGACAGGAATTTGCACCTTTCCCAAAGGTTCTACCAAATGTCCTGAGCGAGACCCACAGGTGTCGCCTGGGGCAGCAGGGACTACGCTCAGTCCCCTGCTCTGGGCCTGTGCCTGCCACCTCCCCGTGATCCAGTCCAGACAGATGACAACATCCATCCCTTCTCAGTGCAGAGCAGGGAACTCAGTATGGACAGCCTTGTGGAACTGGGCTTTGGGCACAGAGCAAACACACAGGGCCATGATGCAAACCTCACTGGAGGGAAGACAGTCTGGAATAAAAAGCTGTATCTAAAAAACTTGTATTTAATAGGAACAAAACTAAGGGCTTTTTTTTTAAGAGAATGCATAAAATTTTTTCTAAACTTGCAGCAGAATTTAAAGTACCTTTACCTCAAGCTCATAGGCAGAAGAAAAGTAATTAAAAATAGAAAAGAGGGGCACCTGGGTGATACAGTCAGTTGAGCATCTGACTCTTGGTGTAGGCTCAGGTCTGACTGAGCCCTGTGTTGGGCTCCACGCTTGGTGCGGAGTCTGCTTGAGATTCTCTCTCCCCCCTCTCTCTGCCCCTCCCACTCACGCTCTCTCTCTAAAATAAATAAACCTTTAAAAAAAAAAATAGAAAAGAAGCAAAGAGTTCTAGACATACACTCCCATACTTCTCCCCAGAAGCATACGGGGTAGGGGAAATCCCAGGTCTGGGTCTCCAAACCTCACCTCTGCCCATCTTTGGGCCCTGGGCAGCAGGCTCACTTCTGAAGCTGCCTCCCCAGGCGTGCAATGGGCCCACACCAGCATCTTCCCACAGGCTGGGAGTATTGTGAGTCACATCCACGAGGCCCTAAGCCAACTTGACCATAGCAAGTTCTCCACGCACGTCGGCTCTTACAAAGCCCCTGATGGTGCATGGCCGTGTATAAAGCCTCATACGTGTGCGTGGGGAGCAAGCTCGGGGCGGACGGAAGTCAGCAGCAGTTCAGGATGTGAGAGAACCACTTACCCGGCCCAGGACATCAAGAGGCAGCTTTGAGTTCATGAGGACTGGCTTGACTTTGTCTCCAGAGAGCAAACCACTGATGGGTAAGAGGCTTTCAAAAATTCCGTCGAATTTTGCCTTTTCTTCCACCTAGTTGGAAAGGGATAGCCTGAGTGAGTAACAAAAGGGTGCCCGTGGGAGAGTCTAAAATGACCTCTGACCCAAAGCGGAATGAAAACAGGCAAGGACCTGCCATTGGCCTTGCCTAAAAGCACAGGACGTCTTACAGCAGTTCCAGAGTGAACCTCTACCCTGAAGGAAACAGCTCCCTGGCAACTACGAATTTGGCGGCCAAGGTCAATGAGGAGAGAGGACCTGGCCATGGGCCTCGCTCTCCACCACGGGGGCTGCCTGGGAGACAACGATCGCCCCTACCTCCCTCCTAGGAGCTCACCAGGATGAGAAAGATGCAAGTGTGAATGGGTTTTTGTTCTTTAAGACAAACAACTAAATCTGGATGTCAATCTACAGAACTAAAGGAGCTCAAGAACCAAATATAAAAATAAACCAAAGACTTAAGCAAGCAATTATCAAAATCAACTTTAAGAACAGGAAATCCTCTCAGAGTAAGAAAATAAATTATAAAAGCTCCTCATGAACAGAGACGTCTGGACGGGACTTACAACACAGAGTAGCAGCTACGGCCGCTATGAAATACGAAATGCGGGCGGCATGTCCGAGGGGCCGTCGGTGAGGCAGGTCTGGGCAGGGACAGTCTGCCCTCCTCCAGAAATAAAACCCATAGTGACTGGACCCGGGGGTGGGGGGGGGGGGTTGCAGACCCCTCACTACCCGCTCTGCCCACGAGCTGGAGCCACGGGAGCACTAAGAAACCCTCACAAGCATCTGTTGACAGAATGGATAATCAAAGTGTGGTGCATCCACGCAGTGGAATATTCTTCAGCCTCAAAAACAAGAGATTCTGACCCAGACTCAACAGGGATGAACCCTGAGGACATTATGCTGATTGAAATAAGCCAGACACCACAGGACAGGTACTGTGATTCCACTTCTATGAGGTCCCTAGAGGAGTCACATTCTCAGAGACAAGAAGCAGACAGGTGGGCGCCAGGGGCTGGGGCGGGGCGGGGAGGAGTTAGTGTTTAATGGGGACAGAGTTTCACTTTGGAGCGATGAGAAAGTTCTAGAGATGGATGGTGGAGATGGCTGCACAACAGTGTGAATGTACCTAATGCTACTGAACTATATGCTTAAAAATGGTCAAGATGGTGGGGGTGCCAGGTGGCTCAGTCAGTTGAGCGTCTGACTCTTGGTTTTGGCCCAGTCATGATCTCAGGGTTGTGGGATCGAGCCCCGCGTTGGGCTACCTGCTCAGCACGGTGTCTGCTTGAGATTCTCTCTCTCCCTCTCCTTCTCCCTGCCCTTCCCGTCCATGTGCATGCATGTGTGTGCGCATGCGTGCGTTCTCTCCCTCTAAATTGTCTGCATATTTTCTCTCTCCCTCTCCCTGCCCTTCCCGTCCACGTGCATGCATGTGTGTATGCATACATGCGTGCGTTCTCTCTCTCTAAAATAAATCTTTAAAAAAAAAAATGGTCAAGATGGTGAGGGGCGCCTGGGTGGCTCAGTCGTTGGGCGTCTGCCTTCAGCTCAGGTCATGATCCCGGGGTCCTGGGATCAGGCCCCGCATCGGGCTCCCTCCTCGGCAGGAAGCCTGCTTCTCCCTCTCCCACTCCCCCTGCTTGTGTTCCCTCTCTCGCTGTGTCTCTCTCTGTCAAATAAATAAATAAAATCTTAAAAAAAAAAAAAAAAAAAGATGGTGAACTTCACGTCACCTATATTTTACCACAATTAAAAAGAAAATAAGAGGGGCGCCTGGGTGGCTCAGTCGGTTAAGCGACTGCCTTCGGCTCAGGTCATGATCCTGGAGTCCCGGGATCGAGTCCCACATCGGGCTCCCTGCTCAGCGGGGAGTCTGCTTCTCCCTCTGACCCTCTTCCCTCCCATGCTCTCTATCTCTCATTCTCTCTCTCAAATAAATAAATAAAATCTTTAAAAAAAAAAAAAGAAAAGAAAAGAAGAACACAGAAAGGAGAGCGCACACAGACACTGCACCCAGGAGGCACCGAGACGGTGAGCACCCTGTGTCCCCCTCAAGTGTCTCGAATTCTGCCCACCAGCTTGAAGACCAGCAGCTCTCCCAACAGAAAAGAACACTTGGCACTTCAGCTTTGTCACTGTTTCTCTGACTGAAACGGCTGAATCTCTCTTGAAAACAGTCTGCCCCCCTCACAGAACCATTCCTGCCCAGCCTCCTATGTGAGGCCTTGCAGCCTCCTCTGGCACCAGCCCTTCTCGGGAGGCCTCAGTGCAGCCCTGCCAGAAAGGGACGGGAACAGTTCAAGGACTAAGAGCTCTCCGGCATCGTTTTCCACAACAAAGCAGCTCTTTTCCAAGTAGGTGCCGTGCAACTGGACTACAAAGAAGGAACTCCTTAGTACTGTGATTGCTGCCGGCAAAGTGCTCAATTGCTCCCAGACGTGACTCCACAATTCCTTGGTCACATGAGGCTGCCTCCTGCCCTCTCCCTGGCCAAACCTCCCCTTCTCCAAACCCTTCCAAGGACGGAACAGAAAAACCGTGTAAAAACAGGACAAATGTACTTGAGGTGGGGCGGGGGGGAGGGGGTCTTTATTTTATAGCAAGACTGTTATTAATGCTAGTACTTAAGCCAACTAGAAGTGAGGAACTGTGACAATCCCCTTACAACTGAGGAGTGAGGAGGTCTCAGTATCTGCGAACCGTCTCCACGTCCCACGTGCATTTTCTTTAGGACTGATTCTGTACCTATTAGAGGTTATATTAGAGGTTATCCTATTAGAGGGTTATCGCTTGTGTCTTTCTTTGCTGCTTCTAGAAAAGACTTGGGACATGGAGGTTGTCCCCTCAGGTACTGAGAGCTTTTCCAAAAGCAAAGACAGCAACAGAAAGGAATGAATAATAACGCATGAACTGGCTACAAATAAAAGTGAGAGCTACGAAGATATCTTAGAGGTTTTCACGCTTGCAAGTTCTCACAAGTGGCCCTTCTATCCTGTTTAACCAACCCAGGCAGCAAAAACCACATAACATGACCCAGAAATGCAAAATATAACTGTAAAATTTTAAGAATCCATCGCCTGAAACTCAGCTAACTGCCTTAGCAGGGCAATGTCCAAAAAGGTCACGGCCATTTAAAGACTTTAATCTGAAAGAGTATCTTGGTTAAATTCTGTGGCAAACTCACTCTGAAACAGACCAGGTACAATCATCCCATGCAGCATTTTGAATACCATAAGTGGCTAAAACAACTGCACGTGGAGGACGGCTGAGGGACGCCGCCGGGGGTCACTCACCCTCACAGCCCAATGGGCCTCTGCAGATGGCGGCGTGACCATCAGAGGGCTGCTGGTGTCGTGCTGGAAAGGAAAAGAAACACTCAGCTGTAGCTGGCATGGAATTCAACTCCAGAGGACGTGTTTGTGCAAAGGACACACATTTCCAAGTGCTTTCAAAATGGCGAAAGCCTCAAAAAGTTAAACACAAGAATTACCATATGCCCCAGCAATTCCACTCCAAGAACTGAGAACAGGAGTGCAAACAAATCCCAGAACACGAATTGTCATGTCCACCACCAGAGGAATGGACGGACCATAGAATGCGGTCTGACTTGGCAATGAAAAGGAACCAAGCACTGACACCCGTTACGGGGCGGATGATCCCTGGAAACATTACGATGAGTGAAAGCAGCCAGATCTACGATTCCATAAAATGCCCACAACAGGCAAATCCATACAGACAGAGAGATGAATGGCTGCCAGGGGCTGGGGGTGGGGGATCCCGTGAGGGGTTACTAACTGGGTAAAGGGTTTCCTTTTGGGGTGATGAAAACGTTCTGGACCTAGAGGGAGGGGCCAGTCGTACAACACTGTGAATGTATTAAATGTCACCAAGTTGTTCACTTTAAAATGGTGAGTTTTAGGTTATATGAATTCCATCTCGATTAAAAAAAGAGAGAAAAACACAGATCAACAGATGATACCAGAAGAGCACGAAGAACCGAAGGATTTTGACACTTACGAATTTAGGTGGCGGCATGTTCAAATTCAGATTGCTCAAGGTAACTTCATGGCCACTCTGTGCACAGGCCACTAGTCTCAGTGCAACATAGAAACCCTGCAAATCCAAAAAAGGGGGAGGGGTAAACACTAGCCAGCTGGCGATGACAGGGGGAGAGCTGTCTGCAGCCGCGGGCTTTGGGAGAGAGGGATTTCACTTCACTGCAACAATGAAGACTCAATGTGCAAAAGTCATGTGCAATGACTCAATGTGCAAAAGGTCCCCCTGTGCAAAACAGTGGAGCACTGTTTAAGTGAATATGCCAATGGACTCAGTCCATTGCACTCTGGACAATCCAAAATTTCAAATGAATATATTTTTTAATACCTTTATTATTTTTTAAGGAAGCTTTATGCCCAACATGGGGCTTGAACTCACGACCCTGAGATCAAGAGTCACATGCTCTATCAACTGAGCCAGCCAGGCGCCCCTCAAATAAATGTATTTTAAGCAATAACGAGCTCCTGACATTTAGGAAAATGTTAGATTAGAGAAGCGGCAGACTAGAGTTTAAGACTATAAATAAATGATGATTCAAATATGTGTTGACTTTTTTTGGGCGCCTGGGTGGCTCAGTTGTTAAGCGTCTGCCTTCGGCTCAGGTCATGGTCCCAGGGTCCTGGGATCAAGCCCCGCATCGGGCTCCCCGCTGGGCGGGAAGCTTGCTTCTCCCTCTCCCATTCCCCCTGTTTGTGTTCCCTCTCTCGCTCTCTCTCTCTCTGTCAAATAAATAAATAAAATCTTTAAAAAAAAAGTATGTGTTGACTTTTTAAAAATGGTTTGAAATAGACAGTTGTTTGGGAACTGACTGTCACGATTCACTGTGATCCCTTGGCCTTGCTGAAGATAGCCTCTCCCACTCGCCCCACGCCCCGCCCTGGCCCGATGTGAACCTTACCTCCCATGCAGGGACAAAGGACCTGAACTAGGCCATCAGGGGCCTTTGCTCTTCCCCGCCCTCCTCCTAACCCAGAGCCGGCCATGCCACAGACTTAGTGGACTCACAGAGCATCACCTAATTTTTTTTCATTGATCAAACAGCCTGAGAACACGAACTGTTTTAAAGCTATAAACACAATCAGAGTTTTAAAAACATCTTCAAAGACAGGCGCGCTAGATCGAACTTTCTCAGACTGATGTCCACAGAATGCCTGAGTGGCGTGTACAGAAAAGGGGATGTAAGAAAGTTTCTGGGAACTTCATTAGACAAAGTTAACAGGTTTCTCGTCCACAAGGTCCTCAGACTCTTTCAACGTGCAGACGTACAGTGTGAATCTCAAGGAAGAGAGGAAGAGCTGATGGTGCTTTCCCAGCAGATCAGATCATGGACAGTAGGACACCAGGAACGGCATCCCTTGGGATACGGTTTGGGGAAAAACTGAACTAAATTAAAATATGACCATTTAAAATCACGTATAAGGGCGCCTGGGTGGCTCAGTCGGTTGAGCGACTGCCTTCGGCTCAGGTCATGATCCTGGAGTCCCGGGATCGAGTCCCACAACGGGCTCCCTGCTCAGCAGGGAGTCTGCTTCTCCCTCTGACCCTCTTCCCTCTCATGCTCTCTATCTCTCATTCTCTCTCTCTCAAATAAATAAATAAAATCTTTAAAAAAATAAAATAAAATAAAATAAAATAAAATAAAATCATGTATAAGTACTATAAATTTCCATTTACAGAACATTCTCAAAATGACAAAATCATGCTGGAGATGGAACCAGAAGGAACCTAACCACGGTTAGGGTGTGACTGCCATGGGGCAACATGAGAGAGATTCTTTTGGGGGCCAGGCGGTTCTGTGTCATAATGACTATGGTGGTTATTACGTGAATCTGTGCAATAAAATTACAGAGAACTATACACGCCAAAACCCCCCCAAAAGTCCACGTAAAACCAGCCAGCTCTGAGCAAGGCCTCTAGTTTAGCACCGAGCTGGCCTCTGAGCATCACACTCTGGTGACATAAGCAGCTCTCACTGTGGGGGTGCTGAGGAAAGGTACACCGGAACTCTCTGGACTGTTTTTGCAACTTCCAGGAGTCTTAAATGATTTCAAAATAGATGGATTTGAAAACATTTTCATCACCTGTAAGCACACAAGTAAATGAAACCTTGCCGTGTTAACAGTCTGATGGCCGCACTCATGTCTAGTAATACTTGTCTGCAGCAGTAACAAGGAAGGAAGTGCAGACGTGACCCAGCCTGCGGGGCTCTGGCCCAAGCCCCTCCACTTGCTCTGTGTGTATGTGTATATATATATACCTGTTTGTCCAAGAACCCTTTACCTTCTGGGTCAGCCAAGTCCCATATCTGTGGAAACACAAAAATGCTCATGAGTGCAACTGCCAATCACTGCCCATTTATTCACAGAACAGAGCCACTGCCACTGCGTGTGGGCCTTATGTGTCGGCTGGAGTGGCCGTTCCTGAGCTGTGGGTGAGGAGGCAAATTTGCAACAGGTGAAGGACCTGCCCCCACCCCCATGGGCACACAGCTGGTCAGTGGCAGAGCCTAGAGAATACCCAGGTCTACTTGGCTCCAAAGCCAAAATAAACCCATAAGCTGTCAAGATCCCCAAAGCACTCAGGCCTCTTGTCTGCTGCCCAAGCAGTAAGTGGGATATCCACCAGTTACAGCCTGAGAGGCTCACAGTGGCCAGCCCACTCCCCAGGAGGCACATCCCCTGGAAGAGGGGTCTGGCCTTCGCCTACTGGGGCAGCCTTGAGGGCAGCCTCAGAAGAGAGGTCACTATCGGTCTTCACGTACCTTCCCAAGGATAATGTCTGAGAGCCCGGACTTCTTTAGAAAAAGCGCAGCTTCACTCGCCCCAACTCGCCCTGTGTATGCCGGGTCTACCTAAAATGGGGGAACAACTCTTGAGACAAGGCCTCAGATAAAGCAGCACACAGCCCACTGGCTATTGGCTGATAACTTGGAGGACAGAAAGGGACCCAGCTGGGCTCCTACTCAGGTTTGCGCCTGCCGAGACACGCCCTCTCTAATTCAATCCAAAAAGACACCAGTGAAACTTACCTGCTTGTAATAAGATTCATATAATGGATTTCCAGTGGGAATCTGTAAACAAAACCACAGACACTGGTCAAAAGTGGACACACGCCACCCTAAAAGAAAAAAATGTCATCCCCTCAAAGAGTCATTACCAAAATGTACAACAGTGAAAATCAAAATGTGTGCACTTTAAACGTCCTCTCTACACAGAGGGCAGCTTGTTTTTAGACACAGATCTCATATACTTACTCAGTCTGGGAAGGAGAAATGCTAATGCTCTTTCAAAGTCCTAATTCCTACACAAACAACTTGGTATTTAGGAAGCAGCAGCAGCCGAAGTGACTTCCACTCACTGAATGAGGGGATTTCAATGCGTCCAGGAGCTCAGAGGGAAAAGACACCCACCCTCTCCTCTGGTTCCAGAATCCGAACAGGAGTTTCTGCGCGTCATCACGGACCACCAGACGCGCAAGCTTCAGACGGGTTTCTCTGCCCCAGATCTTGTCCCCGCCCATCCTGTCCTCCACCAGCCACCAAGGGATGCACACTGACTGGCCCCCACTGGGAGAGGGCTGGCCAGTGACCACTCCTACTGTGGCGGGCAGGAAGTTCAAAGTCCTCGGCTCGGCACAGAAGACACTCCACATTCCAGCCATCAGATCCCCAAGACATCACTGTTCAGAGAAGGTAATCACCCGCTCTCGGGTCATGTGGCTCACTGAAGCCATGTCTGGATCTGGCCTGGTTGGCGGCCGAGCCCTCACACTTTGCACTATGTCCACAGCCTCTCCTCCCGACCTCAGCGAGCCGTCCCCCAGGGGAGGTGTCAGCTGGGGAAGGAATTAAGCAGCCACTACAATGTCTGCTCTAAAGGCTTACACACGTTGGTGTTTTGCCGCATGAAGGGAAAACAGCAGTCCACAAGCCTGCCGTTGACTTAGGGAGCAGAGTGAAGAATACACAATTATGCTTAACCGTGTAGAAGAACAGGACCGCTAAAGACAAGAAGGGCGGGGAAAGCGAGGCCTGAATGAGAGGCGGGAGTACTGTGTTTATTTTAAAAGTCTTTGAATGCCGTCTTGTGATTTTTCATAATGAATAAAAGTGACAGAGGTGGGTTCCTTCCAGGTACAATCACTGGATGTGAACCAGCCCAACACTTGCATACCGCTGCGGCATAAAGAGACTTGCTGCAGGTCAAAAATAATGCCCAGATCACGGTCAGCTTCTCTGGGGGATGCCAACACCTGCGAGCGTATGAAGAAGTGAAAGTACAGAGAACACCGCCAGGACAGAATGAAAATAGAAGGAAAAGAGCACGAGGACCTGAAAGGGGAGAGAGGAAAGTCAAAACAAAAAGAAAGGGGGGGGGAATCTTGAAAAAGCAGAGAAAACTAAACACGGCGCAACATGAAAAGGAAAGCAAGGCTGGGTGACAAGGAGCCATGGCTCGAGAAAGAAAAGGGGACTACAGCTGGGAGAAGGATCGAGAGGTTAAGGACACAGCTACAAGGCGCCTGCCTGGCAGGCTGCTTCCTCCTGCCTGGGGCGCTGGCCCCGGTCGCTGGGGGAGTCGGTCACTCCCAGCTCCTTCAGACCTTAGGCAGCAGTGCCCGCCATCACACCTCGTGTGACCTCCCAGGTTTAAAACTCGGGCATGCTTCCAAAGCACCTCCTCAGAGCAGTAAGGCGGACAGAGGAAGCAAAGCCAGGCTGGCTGTTTGTCAAGGTGAGAAGGTGACAGCAGCCACGCTGGCCTGCCACTGGCTCACAGGAATGGAATGCACAAGCCCAGAGGCCTCCACCCTGATGACAAAGGTCCCCTTCCCACCAACAATCAGAGAGGCTCTGGTCTGAAATACATTTCCAGTGGGATTTTTTAAAAGATCTCAGGGTAGGCAAGAAAAGAGGTTTCCAAGCTACTAAAATTCCAGTGAAAAAGGGCTGTTTGGGGCATACAGAGTTAACAACTGTTTCAAACTTCCCAAATGTTTCTGAGCTATTAGATCCACAATCGAGAAAAACAAGACCCCAAATAATCTGGAAAAGCCTTTGAAGCACCAGATCCAAAGCTCCAACGGTCTGTGCTAAGGGCTCATCCCCCAGATGGTCTATGGCCAGCCTTTTTTTTTTTTTTTTAAAGATTTTATTTATTTGGCAGAGAGAGACACAATGAGAGAGGGAACACAAGCAGGGGGAGTGGCAGAGGGAGAAACAGGCTTCCCGAGGAGCAGGATGCGGGGCTCAATCCCAGGACTCTGGGATCATGACCTGACCTGAAGGCAGACGCTTAACGAATGAGCCACCCAGGCGCCCCTATGGCCAGCTTTCAATCCCACATTATCCACAAGTGACGGGAAACCACAAGAGTGTGCCTCAACTATTCCTCTCTCTGGGAATCAATTTAGTTAAGCTGGGCCAATGACCGCAGTTAGAAGCTTCAATGCGATTACTCATACTCCAGCTACTGTAAAAGCAGAAGGGGGGAAAGGGGAAAATACCAGATCTAGTTGGCACTTCCTCTCACCACTCCACCTCATCCCAGGGATGGGGGAGTCACGTCTGCAAGCTGCCCAATATGCCACTGAGACAGAGCTGAAGACACTTGCTGCCAATTGACACCAGGAATCCCCCAGTGACAGGCGGTCTACATGGTCAGCTCCTGGGCAGAGACCTCTGCCACAACCCGCTCACGGGTGTCGGCAGCGGCTCCCAGAGGGAGTGCTACAGCTGCTGGGACAGAGCACGCTGAGAGGGGACACCAGAGCTCTTCACCTCTGTCTGACCCCAAAGAGAGCCCAGGGCCAAGCCTGGGGCACAGGCAGAAAGGAAATGGGCCAGGGGATGAAAGTGTAGAAAGTTTAAGAAAGCTGCAGAGAACTGGGCGAGGTCTTTGAAATGGTCGTAGGACACAGCCAGCCCAGGATGGTGATCTCCTTCGCCAACCCACTCTGCTAAGGGGCCATCTTCAACTTGCAGTGACTGAATTATTGATGAGGTTCAATTATAACTTTCAATTTGACCATTCAGTTGCTCATCATATCTTAAAATACTCGGAGATAACATGAAAAGTTTTTGTGGTCTCTCTGCTCTGTCCTCCGGCCTAATTTACAAGGGGCGGGGGACGACAGGGAAGGGGAGCGAACCCAGAACAAGTCCACATGCGAGGGCTTTAAAACATCACAGTTCACGTGAGCACATGCAATTTTAATGCTGGAGAAAAGCAGCTTGAGATGAAGAACACAGCAGAACCACTTTGGAGGGGAAATCCTTTGAAGTTTGGGGTTCTAGCCACTCCAAAACCTTAGGATTGAGCCCATCCAGCTCTGACCCCCGCGTTTGTCCGTAGGCAGGACCCTTCCTAAATCTTTACACCTGGAACCAGGAGAATTCCCACTCTTCCGGGAAAGGGTGTGCTTTCATGCCAAACAAAGCAATGATTGCCAGCCTTGCTCATTTCAAAAATGGCATTTTTTAAAGCTAACCAGTTTTTAAGACTTTTGGAAAAAAGTTTAAGTCCTTGCTCTGATAAATAGGGGGGCACATTTATGGAGCACTCATGGTTTCCTATCTAGTACCTCATTTAATGCTCCAACAACACTACGGCACAGGTATATTGGTAGCCCCAATTAACAGGTACTCAGACTGAGGGTACCTTGCCCAGGGTCACAGAGCCAATGAGTGACAGAGCCAGAGGAGCGCCCAGGTCATGTGGCCCTAAGCTACTTTGCATGCTGCAAAAACAGCCCAGGCATGACAGAGCTGGGCACTGGGTCACAGCACAGCCTCCCATGCATGGCAGCCTTGGGAAAATGCACGCACGTGATTACGTGATGGTGCATTTTATTCATCCCAAGAGGTCAGAGTGCAAGACCCAACTCGACTGTATAAACTGACTTGAAAACCAGTGCAGCTTGTCATTTCCCCCGGAAAGCCAAGACCCCATAACAGCTGTATTTTTCTTTTCTTTTCTACTGTCCTATATCCTTTTTTTTTTAATTTCACTGTAGTCAGCACACAGTGTTATACTAGTTTCAGTGTACAATATCGTGATTCCACACTTGCATATATTACTCAGTGCTCATCAAGATAACTATTCTTTAATCCCCACTGCCTCTTTCCCCCGCCCCCACCCACCTCCCCTCTGGTAACCATCTGTTTGTTCTCTGTAGTCAAGAGTCTGTTTTTTGGTTTGTCTCTTTTTTCCTCTGTTCGTTTGTTTTATTTCTTAAATTCCATATATGAGTGAAATCATGTGGTATTTGTCTTTCTCTGACTGACTGACTTCGCTTAGTATAATACCCTCTAGTTCCATCCGTGTCGTTGCAAATGGCAAGACTTCATTCTTCCTTATAGCTGAGTAATATTCCACTGTATATATATATATACCTCCTCTTCTTTATCCACTCAACTCTCAATGGACCTTGGGCTGTTTCCATAGTCTGACTTTTGTAAATAATGCTGCAATGAACATAGGAATGCATATATCCCTTCAAGTTCATGTTTTTGTACTCTTTGGGTAAATACTCAGTACTGCGATTACTAGATTGTAAGGCAGTTCTACTTTAAATTTTTTGAGGAACCTCGGTAACTGTCACCAGTTTGCATTCCCACCAACAGTGCATATGGGTTCCTCTTTTTCCACATCCTCGCCAATACTTGTTGTTTCTTGTGGTTTTGATTTTAGCCATTCTGACAGGTGTAAGGTGATATCTGAATGTGATTTTGATTTGCATTTCCCTGATGATGAGTGATGTTGGAAGAACAAATATTGTTAAAATATCTATACCACCCCCAAGCAATCTACACATTTAATGCAATCCCTATCAAAATACCAATAGCATTTCTCACAGAACGAGAACAAACAATCCTACAATTTGTATGGAACCACAAAAGACCCTGAATAGCCAAAGCAATCTTGAAAAAGAAAAACAAAACTGGAGGTACCACAATTTGAGACTTCAAGTTACATTACAAAACTTTAGCAATCCAAACAGTCTGGTGCTGGCACGAAAAGATATAATACATAGATACAAAAATGGAAACAGAATAGAAAGTCCAGAAAT